TGTGAGCTCTCTAGGTGGTAGTGAGAATCGCGTCGGAGCTATGCTCCTGGTCCATAGCGAGATGTTGTCTTCCGAATCCTATGTAGTTTAAGGAAGGAAGGCTATACTATCATTGAAAGGGAGGAAGGTGTTGAGGTCTGATTAGAATGATGCTTGTAGGGTAGACGACTATCGCTTGACGCAAGGGGAGGAATGACTACCTAACCTCGTGTCAGACGTGGTCACCGTACCTCTATGATCGGGGCCTAGTCAACCCCGGTCGTATCATGTGGGGCTGTTCTACTCTATATGCAGAGGACTAATGAGGTCGAAGACACGGGAATCGGATGGAATGTGGTGAGGCTCGAATCTAAAGCGGGGCTTGATGTCGAGATGTTATCCTCATACAGATTACACCACTCTTCTACGCATTCACAAGGAATTTAGAACTAACGGGCATGATAACTTATGTGAAATGAAATGAGGATTATAACTTGGTCGGGGAACTTTGGACGAATGATTTCTCTCTGAATGGTCCGTTCAAACTACGTCTGAACAACTCCAGGAAGTTGATACGTTTAGAAGACCTGTCAGGGGTTATTCCTGACTCACTGGAGTTTTACTCTGGTGCAACGCAGGTATTCACTGAATGAATTTTGTTTTAGAAGGCTAACCGGAAGCTTTTCCGGTACCATTCTGAGAGGCTAAATGATGTTTTGAGTGGCCGCCAGTGGGATGATGTTGGGATCATTCTGACAACGTTTCTCTGAATTGAAGGCTTCCAGGGGCTAGACCTGGGTCCAAGTTTTGATAAGGCTTGCCAGAGGCAATATCTGGTATCATTCCATCCATAGATGATTTGTGACGATTTAAGGCTTCTTGATGCTAAATCCAGTTTTTGATGTATCAAGTGAGGCTTCTGGAGGCTAAATCCAGTTTTTGATGTATTAAGTGGGGCTCCTGGAGGCTAAATCTAGTTTTGTTGTATTAAGTGAGGGTTTCTGGAAGCTAAATCCAGTCTTGTTGTATTAAGTGAGGCTCCTAGAGCTAAATCCAGTTTTGTTGTATTAAGTGAGGGTTTCTGGAGGCTAAATCCAGTTTTGTTATTGTGCTATTGTAAATTGTCGTAAAAGTTCCGGCTTAGTTCCGGACGATTGTTGGAATTGTCGTATTTGTAATCGTTGCTTTCACATGAAACTTTTATAAGAATCCCGATTCCATTTTTGATGGTGAACGACGGGGGCGTCGTTCAATGGGGTCTGGGAATGTTGTCGGGGCAACGTCGGACGTTGTCCGACTCTTTTGTTGAATTGAGGAACTTGATGAGACTGATGTTTGCCAAAAAGTTTATTCAGACCACCCCTGTGATTGAGTGTCTTAAACTTTTTTAAGAACCTGACGTCGTGGACGTCCAAATGAAAACAACGGGAGTTGGCGGTACGACCTGTCGTCTGGAGTTCCCGACAGCGCCGCAGGGGCACATGGTAGTAGAAAGACTAAAACTAGATTATTCTACCGCTAAGCTCCTCGATTCAGGGTCTAGGTAGACTGAAAAGAACGGCGCGACATCGAGTACGACGCCCTAACACGGGAGGAATATAAAGTTTTTTCTATTTCCCAGACCCGCGGGTTTTTCGAGTAAGGGGGCCGACAGGCCGGTGCCGAGACCTAGCCATGGACGGGCTGCCATCTATGGGAATGCGGCGGCAGGGCCTAATGCCTCAGGCAGGCGAAGTCTGCTGAGCCACAGACTGCAAGCGACCTGATGGGCGCAACCCTTCAAGTGGAAGGGTTGCTGTTCTAGCTCCAGTGATAAGAGCTGGCCCAGTAGGCACCGCATCGGATTTTCAACCAGCAGATGCTGGGATCGAGCCAGAGATAAGCAGTCTGGGCGAGCTCTTTTTTTTTTTTTTTGAGCTGCCCACTGCACCAGCATGAAGCGCGGCCATTGGTGAAGGTCTGCTACTATTGGTGTGTACGGCAGCAGCAACGTGACATGGTGGCGATTAACGACATTCGATGGTACAAAATCGGAGTGCGACAAGGGGATTTTTTTTTTTTTTATGCAGCACATGAGATAAATGTTTTGTAGTTGGGACTACCCAACACTTGCGGCAGTGGGACTGGACTACTTGGGACTGCCTGGATTCAGTTGGGAATAACGTGGGACGCGGACGGTCACTTATGGCAGTCTTGACGCATGCGGTTTTGGGATTCGACGCCGGTTTTATTTTTCTTAGAACTGTGGCGGAAACGGTTTTCGACTCAATAGTTATTCGAGGAAGTGTTTGACAGCATGGGACCACCTAGAACCGCGTGGGACCATCCGGGACCGCTTGGGACCAGTTGGGACTGACGTGCTACCAGATTGAGTGTTTTTTTGGGACGCATGCGATTCACCATTTTCACGCTTAGGTTACCGCGGATGAGGCGTGCGAGTGAGAGGTGGTTTGATCAGGATTTTCCTTGAGACTACGACTTTCGGCGGCACACACAGCTTGTTGGTTGGCTTTTCGAGTGAGCCAGGGCGCTTCTTCGGTGCCACTTCACTCAAGGTCAGTTGAATGATTCAGATATCCCTTCACACCTGTGTGAACCCACACTTTGCTTGACCCTGTTCGTTTGAACGTTCGAAAGAAAAGGTAGAGAAAGTTGTGTGAATCATGCATGTGAGTGGGAAGATCTGATGTGAGTCTGGGATTGTACTGTTTTCTTTTGAACTTGTTTTCTGTGAATGTTATGCAGGTAGGTAGAAGGATGCTTGCAAAGGAGATTGATTATGCCTATTTGAGAGAAGGGAAAATGATTGTCTTTCCTTTACTACTTACCTAGCTTGATGTCAATAAGGACTTGTTGCTCTGAAAAAGGTCAATTAAATACATGTCGTAAATAAATCCGATTGAAAGAAAGCAGATAACGCCAAACGGACTTGGGTTTTTCCCGAGAATCACCCATTCTATCCCGAACGAACTTATTTGCCTATACCTGTCCAAATGATTCTCATTCTTTATCCCTTTTGATTTCCCTTTGCTTAAGTTACCCTGAACTTAGAAAAAATGGGAACAATTGAAAGTTACTTGTACTGGACACATGTTTTCTCTCCAGGAAGCATCTGGGGCGGGGGTTCGTTGCTTCAGGAGCCGACCCTGTTATCCATCGAGAGTGGACCGTTCTACGGGGGGGGTACTTCCGATTCGGTGGAGATGGCCCAATTTCTGAGATCAAAGTTTTGTGCTCGGGCGAGGAGGAGGAGTACCCCAGACCACTTCCTAAAGGGAGAGGCATGCAACACTTCAAGCAATATCCCTGATCAAGTAGCCTGTCATCCAATAAGATTGAGAAAGTATGGAGACAGGTGTGAGCGTATCGAACCTTGAATCGACGGTAGGTGGAATGAATGACTTTGGCAACGCGTCTCATCAAGTCAAAACTAAGGCAGCCGATTACCTTGTCGGCGACATCTATGTTATTGTCGAAAAAACAACCCCTTGTTGGCGGTTGCTTGATTGTTTTATGGTATTCGACCTGAGGCGGTCGGATTGTTTTTGGTGTTGTGTTGTTGAATGTATTAAATGATGATTTGAATTCTCCCAGTTATTAATTTGGATTGGATATGTTTCTGTCGACTACGGTCGACTCCTCTTTATATAATTACATGTGTGGTTGTTGTAACTTTTTCTTTGGCTATATGTTTAAAGGGACTAGGATTAATTTGGGTTCCACGCTTGGTTGAGGCCGTCCTAGTCGACCGGTGTACGCTTCGTACTTGGGAGATCAGCGCCCCAGGGAAGGAACAACGTACGGTTTCACTAGGCGTTAACCAAGCGTATCTATATTACGGCAAACAAGCAAATGCCCTCAGCTGACCTACCTCGGCAATTGCATCTAAAAACTTTTGCACGTGGGTCAGTAGCTCTGTAGGGATACGCCCCTAAAGGTGGTGACAACCCTTTAGGGATGCAAGCTTATGCCCCGCGAAAACCTATCATGTCGTAGGGGACCGTGGGATGTACAGCTGGCGCACCCGGCTAGAGCGGCGAAGGAGCGATGCGACCTCGTCCGTCTCGACGGTTCGCGAAAATGTTATGCGTTGTTCCCGAGTTGTCTCTTGATGTTTGTTTTAGGTAAACTCCTGCGTAACATGGTCGGGAGGGCCCTCAATTTTACGTGAGGGCCGATGCGCTCGACAACGTGACGCTTCTCTGACTCTCGGCACTGTGCAGCCACTGATATTCCAAATGTCTGCACCAGACGAAGACGTTGTCTCCGCTCAATCGTCGCCCTGTGTGCCATCTCCGCAGGGGACACCCTGTGGTGGTCAGAGTGTCGATCGATCTCCGTATGCTGCGCAGGGTTGTTGGAAGGATCACCGCACAATGCTGCTGCGGAGGTGCGGTTGGGGAAAAGGCGCCGTGCTGACATTTCGCCCTCGACAGGCGGCATCGGTGGACCGGGGATGACACACTGTTCACCTTTCCCGGGTTTGTTGGGGGCATCTCCATCTGGTGTGCCCGCCGTTCGTAATGTTGCCGCGTATGGAGGTGTGCATGGTGCTTCGTTGTTGCCGTCCCCGCTCCTTCCTAGACGGCTAGATTACGTGATCACGATTCCTGTAGCACCTGTTTGGACACATGCGGTAGCCCCGACATGTCCTAGTAGAGGCGCTTCTATTGTTGGAGATCTCAGCGATGCAGGTCGTGCGAAGGCATCCCAGTCACGAGTCTCCGGTGCGGCGGCCAGTTCAGTCAGGGTATCGCTTCAGTTTGCCTCGATCGCTCCTGACCTGACATGTTGACATGATGACGAAGATAGCGGCGTGGCAGTCGGCAGCACGCCATCTTTAGCCTCCAACAACATTGTGTGAGTGAGTGTCAGGGATGGGTGTCGCAGGCGGTTGTACTCACTGCGTTATGCTATGGCAGGTGTGGGTGACCACCGCGGACCAGTCAGCGACGTTGTGGACCTGCTACTTCACTGGTCGTTGCCAACCATACGAGCGGAGTTCGGTGTCAGCGTAGCTGCTGAGATCTCCTTGACGTTGCCATCTCGAGTGTGCGGTCGCGATTTTCAGTTGCGTTATGTCCCAAGCGATTCTGGTGCTGACTGTGCTGATGGGGGTGACGAGGGTTCAGGGAGCGCTGCATTGGGGGGGTCGCAGGACGGATCGCAGAGCTTATTCCCGCCCTCACGTCGAGCGTGGTCGACCCCGCAGTGCAGGTCGCTCCTCATCGGCGCAATCACGGCCGCAGACGTGGTCGGACTGTTGGGAAGATGTCGACCAGTGTGGTCCTGGACTTGACTGCGACTCTGTTGAGGAGGCGATGGCATTGTGGACTGGAACGGAAATGCCGGATGTTGTGTTCGTTGAACCGGTCAAGCTGCTTCAGTTGCTGGCCTTGTTTCGTTTGTATTGCCCGTGGCACAGTGGCGCGTGTCGTGTGCACGTGGAGTCCATCTCCTATCCTGCGCAGTTGTGTCGGCTGACGTTTGTATGCGATCGACTGTGCAAATGGACGTGGCACACGACACTTGTGACCACCAATGTGTATCGGGCTCGATTGCAGCAGCAGCTGTATCATGCGACGGTGAGCACGGGACTGACCTACACGCTTCTCGACAACTTCTCTGTTGCATTGGGATTGTGCTCGGTGCACAAACCCACGTTCTACAAATTCATGCGCACAGAGGTGAACGAGGCGGAGGGGTGGACTGCTAAGGTCGTACGTCAAGGCCTCAGATACTGCGAGTTTGCCATTGATACTATGATGCGTCGTGGCGAGCCTGTGACATATATGGTCGACGATCGCCACAACTCCGCCCGAGGGGCGCAATATTGCACAGTCACCGCCATGGAGTACGAGACTCGACTTGTTGTCGGTGTGTACACTCTCCATCCCAAGACCGAAGGCAAGGCGTCGAATGCGCTTGAGGTGCCAGCCGTCGTGCGAATACTGCGAGGGCTGATGGACAACGGGCTGAAGATCCGGTGCGTCGTCTGATGATTGTGTCGTGCTGGGACCGCAGTTACGAGCTATGAACATCGAGTGGCAGAAGGATTGTCACCACAAAATAAAAAACATTCGCAAGCATTTCCGGAGTATGGTGCAGCTCAAGGATGCGAAGAAAGCGAGTAACCCGCACGAGTGTGTGTCGGAGTCCCAGTCCATGCTGTTCACGAAGAAAGAGTTGGTGTAGGCCATGCATGCACGTTTCGGACCCGGGGTCCTCACACAGAAGGAAGAAAGGTTGAAAAAATTGGATTTCGTCGGTGTTGTTATGCAGAAGATGTACCCCTTTGGGTCAAGGGCGAACGGCCAACGTTTGACTGTTGATCTTGACGGTGTGACAGAGTTTCATGCACGTGAGGTCGGGATGTGGTTCCTCCGCGCTTGTCAGCTATGCAGGGACGAGGATGGAGACGCTCACAGTTTACACCGCCACATCATGCTGATCGCCGATCATTGGGTTGGTGATCATTCGGGGTGTGTTGGTGATAGGGAGGTTCTGTGCGAGAAGGCCGCTGGTCGTGGACGATTGCCTTTGTATAGCTGTGCGGACAGGGTGTACGAGCTCATATTGAAAGTTTCAGGAAAATAATACAGCACAAACATCACGTGATACTACACCGAGTTTCGGCACACATCAGCGGTGGAAACTTTTCAAGGCACCATCATCATCTCCGCGAACAAGTCGGTGCATTTCGAGAAGTCTTACAATGCGCGTGTGGCAATCGCAATCCTTCGGTGGAACAGTCACTGCTAGCGCGACCCAGTCGAGTACCGTGCTCGCATACCAGCAGACACTTCCATACTCCCGAGACCCGGCTTTCGTCGATATAACGAGGAGGCAGACGACTCTTGGGTGAACATGTTGGCGACATTCGTGTTTGGTTCGTCTCGTATTTCAGACTGGGATCGACGGCTTCTGAGGCAGGAGGATTGTCCTTATGGAGCCGGGTCCGGTTCATCACCGCTTCCATTGCTGCGCGATTTGTTTGTCGCGGGTGGGGACGACCGTGTCGACGTCGTAGATGATGCTGACTCCGGTTCCGACCATGATGTCATGGGGAACAACAGTATTTTCATTATCGGTGATGAGGTGGAGGATATCTGGATTGTGTGTCATGATTCCGAGTCCGCATCGAGCTCGGAATCTGAGGGTGACGACATAGAGTTGCACAGCGTTTCACATTCATTACCTTTGTCATTCATCTGACTTTCTTCTGCGGATTTGATAATGTTTGCACATGGCGTGGTTCTCACACTGTCGGGGCAGAAACTCTGACAAGGGTATCTGCCCGTGTTTTTCAACGTCGGATACTGTCTGACGTTTTCACTAAATTGGAGGACTTGATGAGATTGACGTTGCCAAAGTCTATTCAGACCAGCGCTATGACTGAGAGACCTAAACTTTCTTTGAACCTAACGTCGTCGACGCAGGACGACATCAACACTCGTGCGGGATAGCGGGAGTCAGCACTGTCGTCCGCGGTTTTCGACGAGGCCGCAGTAGTGTGAGGTCATTGGAAAACTAAAGTCAGGTCTAGTTTACCTAAAATAAGGCCGCACGGCTGTTAAGCCGCACGATTCAGAGCCTAAGTGGGCAAAAAAAGGGCGCTGCGGTAAGGATGGACCGCGGCGTGAAGGAATGGTTTAGGGTCCATACGGCTTTTGCGCCAAGGACCGAGGTCGAAGGCGTCGGAGCCGGCTGGGTGGGGCAGCCGTTAAGCCTGTCGGTCGCCGACCCCGCCTGCCACCCACGGCAGCAAGCCGGCTTAGCAGACACAGGCTGCTAGGCGCTGGGAAAGGGTCTGCTGGGCACCAGAAGCCCTTCATATAGAAGGGCCGCTCCTTTCCTGATGTGAAAATGAGCTAGCCTAGTAGGTACCGTCGCAAGATTACCACCCCGCAGACATGGGGATCGAACCTGACTAACTGCACTACCAAGCTAGCTCCTTTTGGAGCAGCCCATAGTGTGAGGAAGGCCGCGGCCGATTTTCGAGCGTGCGATCTTTGAGATCGCGCGGCTGGAATCAGCCATGTCGAGATTAGCTTGGCCCCTGTGCGAAGGTGATACGCATAGGCCGAGAAATGGTCCGATTTTTTTTTTTTCTTGAAAAAAAAAAAGAAAAAAAAAGAGAAAACTTACCTAGGCCGTATCTGAGCGCCTAAGCCCCTAGGTACGGGCTTCAGTGAGGACGCCGGGCCGACGTCGTGAGGTAAGTCCTGCTTTGTTTTTCTTCCTGCTTTTTATTATTATTATTAGTGGGTTTTTTTTTTTTTTTTTTTTTTTTTTTTTTTTTTTTTTTTTTTTTTTTTTTTTTTTGGGGGGTTTTTTTTTTTTTTTTTTTTTTTTTTTGTCTGTTTGTGCCACTAAGGCGAGCGATGAAACCACTGGCATAAGCCAACGGCAGAAGAAAAAAAAAAGGAATTTTTTTTTTTTACTAAATCTACAACGCTATATGGCGCGCCATGAAGTGACTGGGGTTTTTCAGCCCCAGTACACTAAACAGTCGCCCGTGAAAACGGGCGACCGTTTTTTTTTTTTTTTTTCTTTTGGTTTTTTGGTTTTTTGCTTTGATTTTTTTAGATTCATGCCTTACATTTTGTTTAGATTTATTGCTTTTCTTTTTGTTCCGTTTTTGTGAGTGCCCGTTCGTTTCGAACGAACGGGCAATTCGGAGTCTGGCTGTGCCAGACTGTTTCGTCGGACCCTCACCGACTCATCAGGAGGCTGAGCCTCGATAGTTGGCCAGCCAGCTGAATCAGCCGCAGGAATGCGGCTGTATATAGGTACGTCGAGGGGGGTTCGTTCTTCAGAGAGCGAGAGAGAGGGGGCGTGACTCGCCAGGCTGTTTCGTCGGACTTACACCGACTAATCAGGGGGTTGCGCCCCGACAGCCCATTTGTGGATGGGCGGGTGTATCTGCCATATTAAGTGCCAAGGTACGGAGGCTTCGTGGGACTCATTGCCCACAATTCAGGTGAGTTAGTTCTTTTGTTTTTTTTTATTTTTTTTTTGGGGGGGGGGGTGTTATTGTTTTTCTTTTCTGAGTTTTTTTTTTTTTTTTTTTTTTTTTTTTTTTTTTTTTTTTTTTTTTTTTTTTTTTTTTCCCTTTCTTTCTGTTTTGTCTAGTTTCCCCCCTCCCCCTGAACGACGTGATAACGAAGGGCTGCGCCCGTTCTTGGCCAGAAATGAGCAACTGCCCTTCATGAATGCCTGAACCTGACACTTTTGGTGTCCAGGTGCGGGCACGATTAAAAAAGGCAGGGTTAGTAGGAAAGAAGAGGGGGAGAAGGAAGGAATAAGTAACAGCCATGAATGTGGCCATGAGGGTAGTTAGGTGCAGGGGCAAGAAAAAAAAAGAGAAGGGAAAGGTAGGAAAGGGGGAGTGTCGCGAACGTGACCGCGACGCAGGCCCAGATGCAAGGTTAGAGGCATCTGGGCTCTGATGAGACAGCAGACTGTTGGGTTCAACAGTCAGCTGAAAATGGCTTGGTACAATCATTTGAAGGTCGCGTCTGGCCGCGGGTGGCGGCCAGGAGCATTGCGAGGGTTCAGAACTTGGTTCCCCTAGGGGAACACGATGTTTCCTGGCGCTTGATCGTGATTTAGATTAAGGGTCAGACCCTGTTCCGAGATTTGGTTGGGGCCAATGCAGCCGCCCTCAGCCTTCAGCCAGCTATAAAAGTTAGCCTGCCACCCAACAGCCTCACACTTGTGGCAATGTTGCTCGGGCATTCTACTTGAGTAGATGCTGGCTGGCTGGTTGAGGGTGTAATGAGGCGAAGTGTTGGAGGTCTGCAGAAACACTTGGAGGAAGGAGGAGGCAGCCATAGCTAGAGGCTGGGAGCTTCTTGCCCCATCTTTTGTGCTATACTGCAGGCTGTCGGGAAGCTGTAGTCGTAAGGCTGCAGCTGGATTGCACCGTGTGGCAAAGGGTTCCGACGGGAAGGTGCTGCCCGCCGGTCCGCATGCGGTAAAAAGGGTTTTGAGAAGGAGGCTGCGTCGCTGTACTTTGGAAAGGAGATGCTGCCGAAGTTTTACAGCGACAGCACCGCGTTAAACGGCGGTACGGTGGAAGCGCTGCCGAATTTTTTCGGCAGCGGCACTAGACTTCTTGGCGGTACAACGGAAGTGCTGCCGAAATTTTTTTGGCAGCAACGCTGGTTTACGGCAGTAGTGCGGAAGCACTACCAAAATTTTGCAGCGATGGCATTGGGATCTTGGCGGTAATGCGTTTGTTGCCGAAGTTTTCACTGGTGGAAGCGGCAGTGTTATTGGCATTGAATACATATACGGTGGCCGAACATCGGTACAGGGGGAGTGTTATTAAGGTAGTGACGTGTTTCGGAGCATTGGGAGTGTGACATTGCTGTAGCTTGGTGACGTTGGACACAAGTAACATGGATGGCGGTTGTCACGAGGGAATGGTGTGAATCGCCCTGGGATTAACTTGGGGTACCGATCTTCTCGCTGGAAGGCATTTTGGCATACGTCACCTGCGGGATTTTGTCAAGGCCATGGTAAAAAATTTTTGCGGCGCGTTGAGTAAGCGGGGATTGAGTTGGGACCACCACATATTGTGGCGGTAGTGTGGAACCATCAGGGACCATTTTGGGACCAAGTGAGTGAAAAGTAAGGCGGGGAAATAAGTGTGGTGATCAAGCGTGGTAATTGGTGAAAGATTAGAATGAATGATTGAGTTGGCGCTGTTTTGGTGGAAGGCGTGACGTTGAGGTTGTGGGATTGACAGTGGGAAACTCTCCTTAAACGGCGAGCTCACTTTTGTGTTAGTGAGCGGCGTCTGAGTCTAAAGTGGCATTTGAAGGAGGGTGTGGGACATCCTCATGAGCAGCCACAACGTGAGTTGTGTGGTCATCTTCTCCTGGGAAAATACTTGGCTTTCTTAAGTGAGCCGATTCAATATCAATCAAGGTCAGCTATGACTTAGTTCCTTTGCACACCCGCGTGAACCCACACCTTGCATGACCTTACTTTGAATTCAGGGGAAAGGGTAGAGTAAGGGTGTGACGTCATGCGAGTGGGAAAAGGACTAACTTTGGTTGGGGGATGTATGAATCTTTG